TGCCACTTTGGTAGTGATCCAGTGGATGGAAGATCTCTTGCTCTGTAACTCTGTCTTTCAAATAAAATAAATAAATATTTAAAACAATAAAAAAAGAATGGAGTCCAGGGTTCTAAACTAGACTATCCTGCCCTGATCCCACTTTGTGCAATCCTGAATGCAAGTCAAGCAGGGAGAACATGTTGCAGGGAGGAGCCCACACCAGTTCCTGCTCCACAGACAGAACTCTGTCATTCTTCTGTGACACAGATGGCAACTTAACCTCTACCAGACCACGCTTCCTTAGTTTAGCATTAGGAACAATGTTTTCAAACTTTTATTTAGTAAATATAAATTTCCAAAGTGCAGTTTATGGATTACAATGGCTTCCCCCACCCCATAACTTCCCTCCCACTTGCACCCCTCCCATCTCCTGCTCCCTCTCCCATTCCATTAATATCAAGATTCATTTTCAATTATCTGTATATACAGAAGATCGATTTAGTATATATTCAGTAAAGATTTCATCAGTTTGCTCCCACAGAGAACATAAAGTGTAAAATACTGTTTGAGTACTAGTTATAGCATTAATTCACATTGGACAACACATAAAGGACAGAGATCCTATATGAGGAGTAAGTACACAGTGACTCCTGTTGTTGACTTAACAAATTGACACTCTTGTTTATGGCGTCAGTAATCTCCCTAGCCTCTAGTCATGAGTTGCCAAGGCTATGGAAGCCTTTGGAGTTCACTGATTTCGATCTTATTCAGACAAGGTCATAGTCAAAGTGGAAGTTCTCTCCTCCCTTCAGAGAAAAGTACCTCCTTCTTTAATGGCCCCGTTTTTTCTACTGAGATCTCACTCACAGAGATCTTTCATTTAGGTCCTCTTTTTCTTTTTTATTTTCCAGAGTGTCTTGGCTTTCCATGCCTAAAATACTCTCATGGGCTCTTCTGCCAGATCTGAACGCCTTAATGGCTGATTCTGAGGCCAGGGTGTTGTTTAGGACATCTGCCATTCTATGAACATTTTTTTTTAAGATTTATTTATTTTGGGGGCTGGCGTTATGGCTCACTTGGTTGGTCTTCCCCCTGCGGAGCCGGCATCCCATATGGGCGCCAGGTTCATAGTCCCAATTGTTCCTCTTCTAGTCCAGCTCACTGCTGTGGCCTGGAAAGGCACTGGAGGATGGCCCAAGTGCTCGGGCTCTGCACCCACCTGGGAGACCAGGAGGAAGCATCTGGCTCCTGGCTTCGGATTGGCGTGGCGCCAGCTCTAGTGGCCATTTGCAGGGTGAACCCACAGAAGGAAGACCTTTCTCTCTGTCTCTCTCTCACACTGTCTATAACTCTACCTGTCAAATAAAAAAAAAAGATTTCTTTATTTTTTTACTTAAGAGTCAGAGTTACACAGAGAGAACAGAGGCAGAGAGAGAGAGAGGTCTTCCATATGATGGTTTACTCCCCAATTGGTCACAACGGCTGGAACTGTGCCGATCTGAAGCCAGGAGCCAGAAGCTTCCTCCGGTCTCCCACATGGGTGCAGGTGCCCAAGGACTTAGGCCTCTTCCACTGCTAGGCCAGGCCATAGCAGAGAGCTGGACAAGAAGTGGAGCAGCTGGGACTAGAACCGGTGGCCATATGGGATGCCAGTGCTCAGGCCAGGGCGTGAACCCACTGCAATACAGTGCAGGGCCCCAGGAACAATGCTTTGGTTTCCACTTCATTAGTCTAATCTGCATTGGAGGGGAGCACTGGATGTCTAAGATCTCAGGCTCCACTTTTACTAGAGAGGGGAGTGCTCAAGTGAAGGAACAAATGCTAAGAGAACAAACCATCCTGCTCTGGTCCAGCCCTCCTGTCCTTTATCCCAGAACTGGTGACTGCACTTGCTGCTGCTGCCCTGCACTCTGCAGGCTGGGT